TCAGAGTTAGTCCAGACAAGATTCCTCTTTTGCTTTGTTTGACTCATTCATTTACTCCTTTTTATCTCCAAAGTCCACTCGCATTCCCCTCTGTGCAAAGGCAACCATTCTCATGTGGTCAATGTCTATCTTTTAGTGTGCATGTATTTTTATAAAATGAGTAGAGTCTTCTGTGAACATATCTTAATTTATTATGATGGTGAGATGCAATGCAGCCTATCTGATTTCTTGTCATTTTTACCCATCCTATGATTTTAAGATAAATCCGTACTATTGGGTGTACATATAGTTCATTGTTTCTGGCCACTACACAGTTCTCTGTGGACCTCCACATTGTACCTCTCCTCTCTTTCATGGATAGGCACCCGAGTGTCCTGCAATGCCCCATGATGGCAAGTAACACAACAATTAACAGCCTTGTGCATGGTCCACTATGGACCTGTGTCATGCTGTTCTGCCTAAGACACTTTCTCCCCTTTGTAACCTGGATAATTTCTATACTTTCTTTTGAAATGGGACAATTCCTATCCTTTCTTCTACACTTTCTTCAATGGTTATATCCTGACCCATTGTTTGTAATATGTCCCCCATTCTGCTCTCCTATGCATCCCATGTACACTCCTGTTATAGTGTTTATGTTATATTGTAATTTCTTATTTCTTTCCCTCAATAGATGTGAAACCCCATGAGAGCAGGGACTATGTCTGTCTCATATGCTGTATCTCTAGTTCATGACACAGGGTCTGGCACAAAGCATTGCTCAATAAATACTTGTTTAATGAATACTGGTTTCATTAAACATTTATTAAACACCAACTGCATGCCAGCCCTGTGCTCTATTTTTAAAGTGAATCTTTCAAAGTCAGTACATTTATTTTTAAAAATGTAACAGTGAATATGAAGCATTTAGCTTATTTTTTTTGGTTCCTTGGCAAACCTGGCAGACCTTCTATATCTACGTAAATTAGTGTTGTGTCCTTCCAAGAGGTACAGTTTCCTTACATTTTCTAGAATTTTTCTTTGGGAAAAGAACCCTCCATAGCCAATAGCACATTCTTTGGATTCTTCTCAGGAAGGTCTTTATTTCTTGAAGGCACATTTGATTTTTAGAAGCAGCTTAAAGCTACTTGGCAGCAAATCTAGTGAATGATGTGGGTGATCAGGCTGAAGAACATTATTTTGTTTCCAAATAAGGTGTGACTATAAATAAATGAGGCTGATTTTCTTATATGGTACATATACTGGTTCAACAGCAATTCCAAAAGAGGACTTTCAAAAATGTTGTGGCCTTGGCAAGAAAAATATTTCCATCCTAGTACATCGCCCCACCTCCGCTCTCTGTCTCACACACACACACACACACATTATATACTGCCTGGCCCAAAACATAGACAAGTAAAATCAAAAATCCTTGGAATTTAGTTTTGAAAAAACAATTATACAAGTATGGGATGGAAGAGATCTGACTTGGCAAACATTCTTGCAAAAACATCGGTGTGTGTGTGTGTGTGTGTGTGTAGGGGTGGTGTTTCAATTGGCCAGAAGCTCATCATTCATGAAGAGGGTAATGTGGATTCTAAACAAATATCTCCATTCTAGGACTGCTCTGGTAGAGGTCTTGGGCTCTGTGGGACAATTGGCCCACTGGATCAGGGCTTAAGGGACTGAAGGAGCTGTTTAGAACAGGATAGCTGTTTGGAAGGATATAAATAAAAACTTTAATAGTAAATATTTATTATGGAGTATTTAATAGTAAATATCTATTATAGGGTATGGAATTATTGAGTAAATATCATTTTGATATGTTTTTATTGGTTTCAGAGTAAGGAAGGCATAGGGAGAGAGATATAAAAACATCAATGATGAGAACCATTGATTGGCCACCTCCTGCACACCACCAACTGGAGACTGAGCTTGCAACCCAGGCATGTGCCCTGACCAGAAATTGAGCAGTGACTTCCTGGTTCATGGGTCGACACTCAACCACTGAGCCACATTAGTCAGGCAGTAAATATCATTTTAAAAACTTTATGATGATGTATTGTTAAAATTTTTATTGCCTGTATATATATATATATATTTTTTAAAAAAATACATTTGACAAAAATTGGAGGAGTCCAGCAACGAAATAGGCTGTATTGTGACCTAATGTGACCTCTCCTTAGGTGGTAATCAAAGATTGTGGGATGACCTTTGCAGTCTAGGGATTTGGTGTGTTATTCTGTGATTTAGCCTTGTTCAAGTACCAGAGTTGAGCTGTTGGAGGTTCACATGTGCATCTAGTGAGAAAGAAGCCTGGAAACTTCCAACAAGGTTGGGCAACTTCCCAGCTGCCAAGCCTATTGAAACATATTTATGTGTAGGAAGTTTAAATCAAAGAGCAGAATAAACACTTCAAAGATGAAAAGCCACCAACTAGCAGTGAAACTAGATTCTGAACTGAGGCATAAAACATATAGAGGGATAGGGAAAAACATGGATAAAAAGCTAAAAGATACAGGCTATTGAGTAAAGTAAATGTCAATAAGAGATGGTGAATTTTCCATGTTTTTTTTAAAATGTGTATGGTTATCCATTTTAATCCCAACTAATTAGCTGAAGACAGCAGGTCATAGATATTACAGAGAAGTTGTCTTCTGCCCCTCATCACTCAGTCTGAATGGACCAGAGCTGGCAGACAGTGTACCAAGATAGGAAAAACACTGGCTGGCTTGGTTCATGTTCTGGGAACTGAAGTATATAAAATATGTTCTTATGCTAGAAAAGTCTTACGAGACATATGGGAATAGCACCCTTATGACACCAGTGCTGGGCAAAGGGACTAGCACTTACTTCCTTTCAGAATCAATGATGCCACAAAATAAGGGCAACAATGAGGCTAAACATTCTCCATTTTAGAAGAGGGAAACTGAGGTCTGAAGATAGAAAGTGAATAAGAAGTGTGTGTCAAAACTGACAATCTCCTTTAAAATGGACTTTAAAACAGTCCTCTCTTGCTTGCAGTTGTAAAACCTGGTCTCAGAGCCACAGATTATTTTTTTGCCAAATAAAATAAAAGCCTTTCTGCCCTGGCTGGTGGTTGAGTGTTGTCCCAGGCACCAAGAGGTCACCGGTTCCAGGTTCGATTCCTGGTCAAGTCACATACCTGGGTTGCTGGCTCGATCCCCAGTAGGGGCTGTGCAGGAGGCAGATGGTAGATGTTTCTCTCTGTCCTCCATTTCTCTTTAAAAAAATCAATAAAAACATATTTAAAAAAACAAAAACTTTCCTCTAGAATGACAGGGACAGTTATGAAGTGATAACTGGGCTTTAGATCCTTCTTCTGGTCTGGTAGTGTTATAATATCATACGATAAAATATCAAGGAGCAAACCTTTCCGGTATTTAGATTTCATGAATCAAAGAACAAAGATTCTTATAAATCCCAGTTAAATATAGAAATGATTATGTTTTAAAAAAGAAAAAGAATTCCCTTTCAAGTCTTACCAACTGCTACAAATCATTGTAACCATATTAACAAATAAAACTAATTATAGTTTTAATTTCAACAAAACCAACTGAAGGAAATACTAAACTAAATATTTCCATTTTGTGTTTGTGAAAATTTCTGCAAAGGATGAAAATGGATATTGGAAACCTGTGCTCTGCAGGAGACCCTGACAGAAGTGTGTTGGTGACAGCAGGAGGGGGGAATGATAAGTTGTGAGAAATTATACCTCCTGCTTCCCGCATGGTGACCTCCTGCCATTGGACAGAAATCAGAGATCCTGGCTGGGACCACCTCCTAGAATCAAAGAGGACTTCCCATTCCTGTCCTTGACCTTTGCTCAAACTTCTTTACTCTTTCTCACCCTCTCTTCCTCATACTTATTCAGCTTCTCTTATCCCTCAGGTGGGAGTTGAGTTCCTACTCTATTAGATAAACCAAAGAATTTATATGCATAACCCATGGACACAGACAATAGTGTGGTGAAGGCCTGGGGGGACGGGAGTGGGATGGACAGGGTCAATAGGTGAAAATAGGGGGGCATCTGTAATACTTTCAATAATAAAGATACATTTTTAAAAATGGATCTTAGTTTGCTAACTACCAGGAAAAAACTCAACAGTGTTTTTATTGACCTGACCTGGCAAATGGACAATATGTTAGGCTTTATAAACAATGGCAAGTTGGTTATTCCAGAGGTTCTTTGACGGCAGAATGTCCAAATATCAGCATAGTGTCATTGTTGTTTGTAATGTTATATGTGTAAAAGAAAATTTAAGTAATTATGCTGGGCCTACAATTGACAAAAAGCTGGTGTGGAATTTGTATGGGTGCCAGACCTTCAGCTCTGTGAAAGCAAGGATCAAATCTGTTTTTTTTCTTCTATTGTCTCCAGCATCTGGTATGAAAACTTAGTTGTTGAATAAACAAGTGTTGAAGAAGCTCACCTAGAGCCAAGAGTGAGCACTGTTTCCTAGAAATCATGGGTTTTCTGGTGACAACTTTTGCAACCTAACCCAGGGCAACTGCTGGCTCTGCCATGTAGCAGCCCCAGGAGAAGTGTGACAGAGAACAAGCCTGAGACACAGCACGAAGCTTGGGTAATGATTTGTTTGCACTGTTTGGATCTATCTCTTTGGTTTTGAAGATGAAGGAATATCATTCATGCAAACTGTACACGACCCAACAGAAGATTTCTATTTGGGCAAAGCATTTGCAGAAAAGTGAAATTTGTAAAGAGACAGTGGAACTTTTTGAGATACCTTTAGTTTCATAGACAAGACACTCTAACCCAATGTTTCTAAATGGAGATAATGGATTGGGTATGTGTTGGGAAGAAGTGGCTTTCACTGGGGTTTGGGACCAGGGTTGATACACACACTAGGGAGGTAGGTTTCAAGGTCCCTGTTGGCACCTAATGAGATTTTCTTATGCTGAATATAAAGCTAGCTGAGAAGGAGGAAAAGCAATACATAGTCACCATATATGAGAGCTTACAAAAAAGACCCAATGCATTTTATTTGAGCTTTTATTTATTTTTTTTGTTCAAAGAAATCCATGCAAAGGGAAAGAGAGAAAGAGAGATAGACATGGTAACCATGTTCTAGCAGCCAAACATAGGAAAATAATTTGGCACGACTTGATTTTTTTTTCTTTACAAAAGGACAATCTATACTACCACTAAAATTTATCTGCCTCATAAAGATACCATTTCATTTCAAAAACATAACACATGGTTAGTTTCCTACTTAATGGCTAGAGGAGGCATATGAGATTAAAAAAATAGAAAAAAAATAAGAAGGTGGTTCCTTTTATAGAGGAAAACCACAGGGTGCTGAAGGGCAGCACAGGTGCTGTGCACTAGGAATTCAGTGCACCAGGAAGAAAAAGCACACCACATAGATTGCCAGGCTGGTTAGAACCTTCAGGGGGGAATGGCCATTCCCACAGTTGCGAGAGACGACTATCTCATTGTCGTTCTGATTCACATGTTGCTTGCTTCCAGGGGTATCGTCCACATCCAGATCATAAGCCAGTTCTGCCAAAATTAAAGAAGAATTTTAAATACAGGATTACCAACATTATCAGGTGTACACTATTCACGGCTCAAGCACTTGTCTGGACTGCTGGGAAGGAAAGCTGCCAGGAGATGGAAAAGTGTGTGTGTGTGTGGGGGGGAGATAGAGGAATGATATAGCTAGAGGTGCTCCTTCCAGAGATCATACCAACAGGGAGCAACCTGGCTGTTTCCCTCTCGACTGTGGCTGTATCCATACCCTGCGATGCACATTGGGCCTTTGCAACATCTCATCCCTGGCAAAGCTCTACTTGAAAGTCATTTTCACCAGATCTCACTGGTATCAAAATCTAAGGTGCAGTGTGAGTGACTACATGTGTCTCCTTGTGTGTATGTGTTAATGGGGGAGGGGATATTGTGGACTCTCAGTGCAGCTTTCCTGGGTCCTGCACCCCATACAGATCCCCTCCTGGGAATCTTGCTTTAAAGTTAAGGATAGGGTAGTTTGTCATTAAAAGGTGTTTTATTTTTCCCAAACATTTCTTCTTATATATATGGTCTTTTCATCCCCTCTAAAAAAGCCCCAGAGAAAGTTAAATTGATCTAATACATAAGATTTAAACTACTAGTAAGCAAATTAAGACTAAGGAAATGTTAATAGGTAAGGATCTTCCTCTCTAACTGCCTATCGTTTATGATATCTTCATGATTCTGAAAAAGAAGTTGGGATATTGGGGTTGCCCTAATGAGAAAGTCTCTCAGAAGGCAAATCTAAGTAGATAGTGGTTTGTTAGAAAATTCAAGATGTCTAGCCCTGGCTCAGGTTCTTTCAGATTTGCTTTCCCAAATTTAAAGCTCAAATCTACTCCTTAGGCTTTTCTAGCCTCAGTCACTAATGTTTCTATTTCAATAGCTTGTGAAGGTGATGTGATGTGAGCAACTTCACCAGCCAACTGTCCTGTGGCCAACGGACCTGGAAAGAGTTCTTGGGGACACTGAGATGCATAGCAACAGGCACAGAGGAAATGACTGGCATTTTATAGCGGGAAGGAAGGAAGAGCTCCTCTTACAGGGGATGAAACAGTAAGTCACAGGAAGAAAAGTATGAAGACTCAGCTGGTCCAGGATGACTTTAGAGTAGGGCCCAAGATCAGGGTGGCTCTGAGGCTGACATTGGTTAGAGCAGGCAGCAAGGTGAAGGTGATCAAAACTGGGGGGGGATTACATAGACAGCAATACTATTTTCCAAAAGGATTATTGCAGTTTATAATGCCAGCAATGATGAGGGAACCAAATTTACTGTGCCTCAATTGAAAAAGTATATTGTAGTCAGTATACCATATCTCAGCGTTTCTTTAATTTGCATGTACTTGAAGTATTCATACTGAACATTTTCTATTTTAGTTTACTAATTATATTTCTCAATACATAACAGTTCATATTTTTTTTGCCTTTTTACCTAATGGGTATTGACATTTTTCCTATTAATTTAAAAATATTATTGAATCATTTAACTATGTTATTCAATACAAATATGTTATTGTGTTGTTAATCATAATTATTTTTCATGGCTGTATAAAGAAATGATTTCATAACTTTTGATATGCATGAATTTGACTATATTTTGCTCCTCTTAAGCTGAGAAAGTTTTTCTTCTTGAGCGCCAATAATAATTAAAATAAAAATTTCCAGGAAACCCTCTTACCCAGGGAAAAGCAACTCAACAGACTGTAATCTGGATTCTCTCTCTCCCTAAAATAAATACATACAAAGAAAATAAAAAGAGGAAAAGAACAAAGAGCAACACTTTACTTGGAAATCAGACCTCTTTCTCTGAAAGGTGAACTATGCAGAGCACATAGAAAAGGCTGAGGTCAGCTGTCACTCGGCAAGGATAACACAGGCTTAAGTCATGATCAGATTTCATCAAAATTGAGAACACATATGGTTATATCTGTTGAAAGGCAGCCTTGGGTCTCACAGCAACTTCTCAACTTAAATGAAAAGGAGTATTTTTTAGGATTTACCCGAATGAGAGCACTCTCAGAATCACTTTCAAATTCCTTTTCTGGATATTCCTCTTTCCCAATATTAAGATGAAACAACATCAATTAATGTTGCCACTAAGCGCTTATACTACTTATCTTGCTCTTCAAATATTCTGCAAGCACTAAATAATAGTATCATAGCAGTTAAGGTAAACCCAGCAGTTATCTTGATTCCAGTAGTTTCTAATCCTTTTTGCCACCAAAGACTTCTTTTGTTATTTCTATCTCTTGGACCCTATGTTTTGAAATGATAAATATGATTACCAACTATTGAGTCCTCATTGTGTGCCAGGCATTCTACTAAGCTATTTATATGTTATCTCATTTAATTAAACCTTCTCAACAATGTCATAAGGTAAGTATTATAAATCCCATTTTTTAAAGATGAGAAAGGTCAAACTCAGGTCAGTTTTTTTGCCCATACTGACACAGTGGATAAATCACAGGGGTCCTATTTGAATGCAGGTCTTACTCTGAACCTCATATGAAGCTATACCATCTCTTGGAAAAAATGTATACTAAACAGATTACAGTGATTAAGCATTAACAGACTCCTTCTTGAAAAAAATTCTTGATTAGTGAAATACATACTACCAGAACTCAGGAACCAACACATCCAGTTAAAACTGGGTTTCCTCCTCTGTACCTTCAAATGAGTCTGGCTGCCAAGCTGGCCAATGGAAGGGTAAAAAGATTTCTACAGCATGATTTGGGGGCTGTGGCACTGGACTTTACCAAGAAGCCAAGGAATGGAAGAAACACTGGATGAAACACCCAGCAGGATATTCCAACAGCTCAGTGGCAAAGGGAAGCTGCATCGGATGAGGCAGCCCAGTAATTATTTTGAACCAATGTCAAATTCCTTTCTGTAAACAATATTTAAAGATAATTCTCTTGCTCTATATTTATTAGAATATTCAGTTGTATGAGGAATAAAGTAGCACTGACACACACACACACACACACACACACACACACACACACACAAAATAAAAAGCAAGAGAAAAGTCAGTGTTTCCACATAAAACTGATCACAAACTTGATTAAGTAGTCTTATTAAGCTTTGTGAAATACTGAGAAGAGCTCTGGGTTTGAGAAGCCATATGGGAATTATCATATCAGTTCTATTTCCCTGAAGAAATCAGCAATTATGGCCAGGGCCATTAGATGCCCCAGGTACAAAGTTGGGTCAAGTCTTCTACCTCCAAAGGGCCCCAAGAACTATTCAGAATGATACATTGCTGTGTTTCCTAAGCTGTGGCTACATGTTTCCTGAGGCCCCCCATTTAGTAGCAGCAAATATATTCACCCAATCCGATAGCCAAGTTCCTAGGGCTTATATTGATAGAGACGAAGGGGGCAGATTAGCAGAGGAAGCATTATGGGAGATAGAGGAAATACGAGTTTTGGTCAAAGATAAATATGGACATTCTTGAACAGGGGAAATACAACCTAATTTAATTCAACAAGCTTAAAGGTAGCCTACTATGTCCCAAGCATTAAGCCTGAAGGTTGGAAAAAGACTTAGTATTTGCCTTCAGGAATCCCACACTCCAGCACTCTAGCAAGGAAAATAGACTAGTAGACAGGTCTACTTGGCAGAATGTAGAAAGGGCACAGATAAAGGCATAAGCAAAATACCACAGGGATAGAAGGGAGATATAAAAATTCCAAATAGAAGGATCTGGGAAGATTTTTTTGAACAGTTGGACTATAATTAATACCATGAAGGATGGGTGGAACTATGGAAGGGCTGATGAAATGGTTATTCATTTTAGGCAGAGGGTTCAGTTTGAGCGAAATCACAATATAAAAAATTGTCTGTAGGGAATACTTAATAGGAGCAAGTAGCCTCTATGATGGAAGGGAGCATAGAGTATACATTGTTGTGAGGTGTCTGTGTGTGTGTCTCTGTGTGTGTATGTCTGTACTGTGTTGTGGGTGATAAAAGGTAAGGCAGGAAGGACAATTAACAGCTAAATCATGGTCGATTGGGAATGCTAAAACTTTATTTTGTGGGCAATAGAGAGCCACTGAATTTTTTAAGTAATGAAACCACATAATCTGGTTTGTGTTTTTTAGAAAAATCATTGCTAACAGTTTGGAGGACAGCCTTAAGTGGGAGAGACTTGTCAGACATCTTGTCTTGGAAAAAAGAAGCCCGTGGGAACAGTGTCTGGGGATTAGACAGTAGCAAATATAATTTTAAAAAAACCTGACAAAGCTAAATATACAGCAAACCAAAACTTGCTCAGTTTGCTACAAACCAGATGTACTCGGGGAGTCACCACAAACCATTTTCTTTTAAATAATTCATATTTAATGTTCATCAGTGATTTTCCAGAACATATCTTTGTTGTATTAGGTACATATTGTAAAATGCACATAAAATATTTCTGACTTGCAGTTGATTATCAGTGAGAAACTTTTGGGTCAGCAAGATTTTCATGTTAAATCCAAATATCTGTTTCTCTTTGTAATCAGTTTAACTATGCCCAAAGGGTAGGTCCAAGAATCTGTACTGATTACACACTCAACTCTGATTCTCATTTTGCCCTGATGTCCTCTGTGTTGCAGATTAGATAAACCTTTAACATAATTATCAGTCATTAAGGTCTGCAAGTTATGTTGAAAGTTTTTTCTGCTTTTTCTGTTGGGTAAAGTACTCAGTGTGGAACCCTTTACTATTATTCAGTCTCCTGGTGGATGGAGTTCCTCAGGAGGCTACACCAGACTTACTGTGTCATTGGCAAGTCATTACCCACTCCTCTGGGAATCAGTCACCCCATCTGCTAAATAAGAGTGTTGGACTGGATTGACTCTAAATTTCCTTCTAGTTTTATTTCTCTCTGATTCCAAGGCTCTTAGGGGCCAGTGAGGGACACAATTTGCTGCAGTCTGCAATCATTTCTCTGTCCACAGCAGCCAAGATGGCTGCCCTCAGCAGAGCCTCCATCAACAAGTAGGTTCAAT